GGAAGGAAGGAAGGAAGGAAGGAAGGAAGGAAGGAAGGAAGGAAGGAAGGAAGGAAGGAAACCAGGCTAGTGAGATAGGTCAGTGGACTAAGCACCTGCTTAGTTAAGCGCAGGGACCGGGGTTCGATCCCTGGCACCACATGCCAGGCCAGCCCCGCCCCCAGGCACACGCCTGTAATCCCAGTGCTGGGGAGGCTGAAAACAGAAGGATCACTAGAAGTCCGAGCTGCGGAGTAAGGTCCTGTACCAAATACACAAAACAAAAAAGGAAGACATAAGAAAGGAAACCAAAACCAAAAAGGAAAAATACTGAGGATGTAGCTCAATGCACAGAACTGAGTTCAGGATCCAGGATTAACAGGAAAGAGTTCACCACGCGTCTCTCTTGCTCCTTCTGCTGGGGATGGAGCCCGGGGCCTCACGCATACCAGGAAGGGCTCTACCTCTGAGCTAGAGCCCCAGCCCCACCCAAAGCCTCTTGTTTTCCCAACACTAGCTTTCCCCGCTTGATGCATCATGTATAGATGTACGTCACATAAATGCACCATGTAAGCTGAAACACATGAGTGGTGTCAACAGGCCAGGCCCCGTGCTGCGAGCTTAACATGTCTGAATTAATCTGCACAGCAAATCTTTGAGGAAGTTTCTACTATTAGCCTCACTATACAGACTGATGAGGAGACCTCAGCCAAGTTCCACTTTTCTTTTCTCTTGTTTTGGCTTTTTGAGATACAGTCTTGCTATGTAGCCTAGGCTGGCCTCGAACTTGCAGGGATCCTCCTGCCTCAGCCTCCCGAGGAGCCAGGATCCCAGGTGTGCGCCACCATACTGGCTTGCTTTTCTGTGGTACATTTGTCATCCATGCTCCTGGATGAGTCTCTCTAGATTGGCTTCTAGAGGCTCCCAGGCTGGGGTGTGTTCAGGCTCAGCTCTTTTGCTTTTAGAATTCTCTGGCACAGTAGTCTCATGCGTGCTCTGTGAGCCCTGCGCAAGGAATTTCACTGTGGCATTGTGAAGTGTCACACCCACGCTCACCACAGGGAAATGTGTATCTCCATTCAGCAGCCTCAGCTTTTAATTTTTTTTTTTTTAAGGACTTTTTTTTTGCTCCTTGAATGCCTTCAGGGCACTTTTGCATGGCTGGAGTGTTGAGGGGATCAAACTACAGCAAACTGAGGCTGCCAGCATTGTGGAAGCAGCCACTTAAAGAACGGAGCTAGGGCTAGGCCCCCCTTTATTTTTTTTAGATAGGGTGTCACCATTCAGTTCAGGCTGGCTTTGAACTCCCTTTGTAGCTCAGCCTGGCCTTGAACTAGCAGAGATCCTCCTGCCACAGCCTCC